CAATAAGTTACTATCCTAATAACCAACGTTTCGACAGACAAGCTGTCTTCATCAGGGTATAATGACAAACACTGCCACTAGTTTATATAGTGTCAAAGGACACACGCAGGTGTCTGTAATCATGGCCGGGTGTGGCCTAATAGCATTGGTTAATTCACAGTTAAACAAAACATACAAAAAACATGGATAGCATACGATCATAGATGCAACTTGGCTACATAGGCCCACAAACATTTACAATGAATAGCAAAATCACAATAATGGCTTCAAATCAAAGTATACGTTGAGACCGAAGGGAGCAAGGGTCTTTAAATTAAAGATCCAGGCAGCCTCTCGTTTTAACAATAAGTTGTCGAGGTCACCCCCGCTCCTAGGGAGGGTGACATGTTCGATGCCGATATAACGTAGGGACGAAATCGAGTGGTTCGCTTCCAAAAAGTTGGCAGCCACAGGGTATGTCGAGTTTTTGCACCTAATGGTGCTACGATGCTCCGAGATTCGTACTTTTAATTCGTGCTTTGTTTTACCCACATAATGTTTACCACAAGGACAAGTTATAAGATAAATAACTGCCTTAGTGGAGACGTAATAACACCTTTGATTGGGATCTGTTTCCCTGTTTGGGGGTGTTTAAAGGATCTACATTTGTAAGCCACCTACATGTTCAGTTTAAATATCACGATTAGGGGAGCTAAAGTATTCCCTTAAACGGATGTTTCAAAAAAAAAAAACTTCAACATGTCTACCGTAACATCAAAATCGTTGAACTGAGTTGTAGGGACGAAAGATGACCCTTGAGTAAGCAAGGAAACATGGGCAGGACTCAATATCTTGCTTGATAAATTAAAGCCACTCAGTCCCGTGGGTTCTGCCTCTGGTAGTCGTTTCTTCTTACCCTGTTGTGTACGGCATCTCGTCGGTACGCGTGACCACGGCCACCTCTGTGCTGGAGGGAGGCCCAGTCTCTCGTTGGATAAAAAACTGGTACTGGAAGCGGATGAGGCGCTAGTTGTAGAGCGTTGGTCAGACGGGAGTGGATAGAAGTTAGCGGCCTCCCTCCTGCGTCTGTCATGGAGAGGAGGAGCAGAACTTCTCTTGTCAGGGTTTCTCCAGAAGTAGACTTTGTCCTCGGCCTTGTCTTTTTTGTCTTGGTTGAATTTCTTGATTTTAAGCTCCTTTATTTCTGTAGACAACTTGTCCTGGAGCGCTTGGTTAGTTTTCATCAGTTCATTGAATATGCCATCAACATTAACAGCTCTTTGCAGAGCTGTGCGTTTCTCTTCAGTCGTGGTATCCATTTCAATAAAATATTTTTTCAACTGGTCAATAATTAATGTCATTAAATCAATAGAACATTTGCTCAGGATGGCACACTAGCGCTCACAGAAATCATCTGTGCACTGTCCCAATTATGGTTCTTTTTGCCACCTTGTCTGTCGAAAAGTTGGTTATTAGGATATTAAATTATTGCATCTGAGCTCCTAGAGTGTGCGGCTTTCCTTTTATTTTTCAATTACACAGGTGCACCTTGTGCTGGGGACAATAAAAGGCCACTTTAAAATGTGCAGTTTTGTCACACAACACAATACCACAGATGTCTCAAGTTTTGAGGGAGGGTGCAGTTGGCATGCTGACTGCAAGAATGTCCACAAGAGCTGTTGCCAGAGAATTTAATGTTAATTTCTCTACCATAAACCGGCTCCAATATCGTTTTAGAGAATTTGGCAGTACGTCCAAACGGCCTCACAACCGCAGACCATGTCCATGGCGTTGTGTGGACGAGCGGTTTGCTGATGTCAACGTTGTAGACAGAGCGCCCCATGGTGGCGTTGGGTTATGGTATGGGCAGGCATAAACTACGGACAACGAACACAATTGCATTTTATCGATGGCAATTTAAATGCAAAAAAATACCGTGACGAGGCCCATTTTTTAAGGTATCTGTGACCAACAGATGCATATTTGGACTCCCAGTCATGTGCACCTGCACTTTGACTCTCTATGTCCCCTATCCTCCCGGCAGGCTCGGTCCTCCCCTCCAGCTCCGTGGCTTGATGACTCATTGCGAGCTCACAGAACAGGGCTCCGGGCAGCCGAGCGGAAATGGAGGAAAACTAGACTCCCTGCGGACCTGGCATCTTTTCACTCCCTCCTCTCTACATTTTCTTCATGTGTTTCTGCTGCTAAGGCCACTTTCTACCACTCTAAATTCCAAGCATCTGCCTCTAACCCTAGGAAGCTCTTTGCCACCTTCTCCTCCCTGCTGAATCCTCCCCCCCCCCCCCCCTCCTCCCTCTCTGTGGATGACTTCGTCAACCATTTTGAAAAGAAGGTTGACGACATCCGAGCCTCATTTGTTAAGTCAAATGACACTGCTGGTCCTGCTCACACTGCCCTACCCTATGCTTTGACTTCTTTCTCCCTCTCTCCAGATAAAATCTTGCGACTTGTGACAGCCGGCCGCCCAACAACCTGCCCGCTTGACCCTATCCCCTCCTCTCTTCTCCAGACCATCTCCGGTGACCTTCTCCCTTACCTCACCTCGCTGATCAACTCATCCTTGACCGCTGGCTATGTCCCTTCCGTCTACAAGAGAGCGAGAGTTGCACCCCTTCTCAAAAAACCAACACTCAAAAAACCAATCCCTTCTTTCTTTTCTCTCCAAAACTATTGAGCGTGCCGTCTTTAGCCAACTCTCTTGCTATCTCTCTCAGAATGACCTTCTTGATCCAAACCAGTCAGGTTTCAAGACTGGTCATTCAACTGAGACTGCTCTTCTCTGTGTCACGGAGGCTCTCCGCACTGCTAAAGCTAACTCTCTCTCCTCTGCTCTTGTCCTTCTAGACCTGTCTGCTGCCTTTGATACTGTGAACCATCAGATCCTCCTCTCCACCCTCTCCGAGCTGGGCATCTCCGGCGCGGCTCACTCTTGGATTGCGTCCTACCTGACCGGTCGCTCCTACCAAGTGGCGTGGCGAGAAGCTGTCTCCGCACCACGTGCTCTCACCACTGGTGTCCCCCAGGGCTCAGTTCTAGGCCCTCTCCTATTCTCGCTATACACCAAGTCACTTGGCTCTGTCATATCCTCACATGGCCTCTCCTATCATTGCTACGCAGACGACACACAACTAATCTTCTCCTTTCCCCCTTCTGATAACCAGGTGGCGAATCGCATCTCTGCATGTCTGGCAGACATATTAGTATGGATGACGGATCACCACCTCAAGCTGAACCTTGGCAAGACGGAGCTGCTCTTCCTCCCGGTTGAAAACTCCGTTGTGTCCTCCTCCCAGAGTGCGAAGAGCCTTGGCGTGACCCTGGACAACACCCTGTCGTTCTCCGCTAACATCAAGGCGGTGACCCGATCCTGTAGGTTCATGCTCTACAACATTCGGAGAGTACGACCCTGCCTTACACAGGAAGCGGCACAGGTCCTAATCCAGGCACTTGTCATCTCCCGTCTGGATTACTGCAACTCGCTGTTGGCTGGGCTCCCTGCCTGTGCCATTAAACCCCTACAACTCATCCAGAATGCCGCAGCCCGTCTGGTGTTCAACCTTCCCAAGTTCTCTCACGTCACCCCGCTCCTCCGCACACTCCACTGGCTTCCAGTTGAAGCTCGCATCTGCTAAAAGACCATGGTGCTTGCCTACGGAGCTGTGAGGGGAACGGCACCTCCGTACCTTCAGGCTCTGATCAGTCCCTACACCCAAACGAGGGCATTGCGTTCATCCACCTCTGGCCTGCTGGCTCCCCTACCTCTGCGGAAGCACAGTTCCCGCTCAGCCCAGTCAAAACTGTTCGCTGCTCTGGCACCCCAATGGTGGAACAAGCTCCCTCACGACGCCAGGACAGCGGAGTCACTCACCACCTTCCGGAGACATTTGAAACCCCACCTCTTTAAGGAATACCTGGGATAGGATAAAGTAATCCTTCTACCCCCCCCCTTACCCCCCCCCTGCCCCCCCCCCCCCCCCCCCCCCCCCCCCCCAAAAAAAAAAAACATTGTAAAGTGGTTATCCCACTGGCTATAAGGTGAATGCACCAATTTGTAAGTCGCTCTGGATAAGAGCGTCTGCTAAATGACGTAAATGTAAATGTAATGTGAAATCCATACATTAGGGTCTAATTTATGTCTTTCAATTGACTGATTACCTCATATGAACTGTAACTCAGTAAAATCAATGAATGTATTGCATGTTGCGTTTATATTTTTGTTCAGTATATAATAAACATTTTACCATTTACTTTGGTTTTGATTTTATCATAACGTTGTAGAAACTCAACTTCAGATTCATTTTGGTAGCATTACGCACACTGTAGTGTTTCTCTTCTTGTCCGCAAGATGGTAATTTATGTTAAGCAATGAATGGCTGTCATTAGAACTTTCGATATCGTCTACAAATGGGAAGATCTCAATCATTTCCTCGCGTCTTCGCTCCTCGTCTCCTTCTCAAAACCCATTGGATGAGAAAGCCAGAAGCCCCGCCCCTCTAAATGTATCCTATGGGCAAAAGGAGAGAGGACGAGAGAGTATGTAATCAGAGATTTTAGAGAAAGGAGATAGGAATCCAATTTGACAATACATGGAGGACAGTATAACGCCTCACCAGCAGACTGTCGACCAATCGTGTTCACGTTGTTATGCCGCGTCACGGGGATGCTAAGCTAATCGTAACGCAATCCTTCCTCAACCTGGCTATTTTCCTCGAAAGTACGTCATGTCACGATTCCAAAGCTGTACGATATTACAGAGAACAAGTTAATTATCTTACATCTCGGAATAGATTTGTAATGTTGTACTTCTTGTTGACGAAATCCATGCTAGTGTTGGGTTTTTTAGCTAGCGCCCAATTGACTCCTTGAAGGAGAGCTCTCATTGTCCCAGAATCACCCAGAATGCACCACGCGGCCCATTGACGACGCGTGGGGAACGCACACATTCGGCGTTAATACGATACCAATGGAGTTTCCCATCTCCTCACAAGTATCTCTGATAAGATCTTCACTATGGTTGCGGATGTATCAAACCGGAAGAAAAACAGAAGTTGTGAAATGACATCGAAAATTCACGGAGTTATGATTTAAACACGGTATTTTAGTCGTCTTTTTTTACTACTGAAAACTGGGCATACAGAACATCGTTGACATGGCAGGAAAGCAACGGGAACTACCGTCTTGGATGGCACGGAAGGATGAGGACAGAGTGAAAGAGAAGGAGACACTGAAGAGGGTAACTTCAGCCAAGAGAACAAGGAGGAAACGATTTGAAAGGTGGGCAGTGTGGTTTCATCCACTATCTCTGTTTCAACTAAGGACAAAGTAACCTGATATTGTTGAGATATTAAATGTATAAAATAGGGGGGCAGTGCCCTTACGAAAAACATTGCAGTATAACTGCAATACACTGTACTGCAGTTATATACTGCGTCCCAAATACGTTTTACTGCAGTAATTTTGCAGTGTAACTGCAGTTATTCTGAAAAATACCACGGTCAACTGCAGTTAGTGCACTTTTACAGCAGTTTCAAAACTGCAATCGTTTTCTGTAAGAGTGTGGTTCCACTAACTTTTCTATTTTTCAACTAAAAGTAACCTGATTCCATATTATTGGCCATATGGCTAAATGAAAATTATTCATTTTCTGCACATAGGACTCAATTTTCCCTCTCTTGCTGTTTGTTCAGAGTGGCTTTCTACTGCATGAATGAAAAGGAGCTGGTGGAGGCAGCTGTCAGTTATTTGAATGATTTTGGAGGTGGAGAAGATGGAGTTAGTCATGATGACAAACAGGTGATGATCCATAGACTGGGTGATGATCCACCCAGGAGTGTGGGGGGGATGCAGCTAGCTAGCTTAGACTTGTAAAGTTTCACCACAGTATGAAAGTATGAAAGACCTCTAGTGGGGAACCCCCAGATTTTATTTGATATATTCCAGAGCTAGCACACCTGATTCAACTAGTCAGGTAATCATCAAGCCCTTGACTAGGTGAATCAGGTGAGCTAGTTCAGGGATACAACAAAATTGTGAAACGTCTGGTGGAGAGGTTTGAGAATCACTTCTAGTGGATATAACTGAGCTATTTCTGTCTGCTTTATCCAATTCACCATGTATATTGCATTCATTCCTACAGGTCAAGAGTAGTGTGGTGGGCTGCTCTGTGAATGCAAAAAACAACTGTGTCAAGGAGAAGAGGAGGAGGCTGTCTGAGTTGGACGTGGTGGAGAAGTCCTCAGACTCTGATGCCCAGGAGAGGACGTACGTCTCAGAAACAGACCTCGACGTAGCCGAGGAGGAGACTCTACTGTACGCTCAAAACAACAACACTCACAATAACAATACAGAGCAGGGACCTGAGGGTCAGAGTTCTGGACCAGGTCGAGGTCACGGTCACGACGATGCTGATGGTCCAGGGGATTTGGCTCAGGATGTTGAAGGAGCAGAGGACCACTCACGGTCACAGTCTCCCACAGCAGACGATGATGCCCTCCGGCTTGTACGGGAGATATTCTTCACCTGATGATAAACCACGGAACACTTTGAACTTTAAGACGCTTTCCTTACATACTGAGATGGGGGGTACACAGTGGGGTCATATAGACTAAAGTATCTTAAAAATAGTCGATGGGGGCAAATGGGACCCATGACATGAATGATTTCCTTCTCTGCTAATAGTGGGTTCTTGGTATATGTTAGTAAATACACTACCAGTCAAAAGTTTGGACACACCTACTCATTCAAGGGTTTTCTTTATTTGTACTATTTTCTACATTGTAGAATAATAGTGAAGACATCACAACTATGAAATAACACATATGGAATCATGTTGTAACCAAAAAAGTGTTAAACAAATCAAAATATATTTTATATTTGAGATTCTTCAAATAGCCACCATTTGCCTTGATGACAGCTTCACACACGCTTGGCATTCTCTCAACCAGCCTCACCTGGAATGCTTTTCCAACAGTCTTGAAGGAGTTCCCACATATGCTGAGCACTTGTTGGCTGCTATTCCTTCACTCTGCGGTCCGACTCATCCCAAACCATCTCAATTTGGTTGAGGTCGGGGGATTGTGGAGGCCAGGTCATCTGCTGCAGCACTCCATCACTCTCCTTCTTGGTAAAATAGCCCTTACACAGCCTGGAGGTGTGTTGGGTCATTGTCCTGTTGAAAAACAAATTATAGTCCCACTAAGCCCAAACCAGATGGGATGGCGTATCGCTGGTTAAGTGTGCCTTGAATTCTAAATAAATCACAGACAGTGTCACTCCATAACACCTCCTCCTCCATGCTTTACGGTGGGAAATACACATACAGAGATCATCTGTTTACCCACACCGCGTCTCACAAAGACACTGCGGTTGGAACCAAGAATCTCCAATCTGGACTCCAGACCAAAGGACAAATTTCCACTGGTCTAATGTCCATTGCTCGTGTTTCATGGCCCAAGCAAGTCTCTTATTATTATTGGTGTCCTTTAGTAGTAGTTTCTTTGCAGCAATTTGACCATGAAGGCCTGTTTCACACAGTCTCCTCTGTAGCGTTGATGTTGAGATGTGTCTGTTACTTGAACTCTGTGAAGCATGTATTTGGGTTGCAATTTCTGAGGCTGGTAACTCTAATGAACTTATCCTCTGCAGCAGAGGTAACTCTGGGTCTTCCATTCCTGTGGTGGTCCTCATGAGAGACAGTTTCATCGTAGACTTGATGGTTTTGGAGACTGTAGTTAAAGAAACTTTCAAATTTCTTGAAATGTTCCATATTGACCTTCATGTCTTAAAGTAATGATGGACTGTCGTTTCTCTTTGCTTATTTGAGCAGTTCTTGCCATAATATGGACTTGGTCTTTTACCAAATAGGGCTATCTTCTGTGTACCCCCCCCTACCTTGTCACAACACAACTGATTGGCTCAAACACATTAAGAAGGAAATAAATTCCACAAATTAACTTTTAAGAAGGCACACCTGTTAATTGAAATGCATTCCAGGTGACTACCTCATGAAGCTGGTTGAGAGAATGCCAAGTGTGCAAAGCTGTCATCAAAGCAAAGGTTGGCTATTTGAAGAATCTCAAACATAAAATATATTTTTATTTGTTTAACACTTTTTTGGTTACTACATGATTCCATGTGTGCTATTTCATAGTTTTGATGTCTTCACTATTATTCTACAATGTAGAAAATAGTACAAATAAAGAAAACCTTTGAATGAGTAGGTGTTCTAAAACTTTTGACCAGGAGTGTACATTTGTGACTCGTGAGCAAAATTGGTGGGTTTAACTTAACCTACTTTACCTAATATTCATGGTTTCAATTTTATCACACTATTTTACTGGAACATGGCAGCTAGCCAAAATGTATGCTATATATTTTTTAATTACTTAGGCAAGTTGTTGATTTATTAAAATGACCGTAGCATTTGTTGTCAACATTGCCTACCATGACACCGTAGGTCTATAGTAGCTACAGTAACCTAGTGGTCAAAGACAGCAAAGCATCTGGTTGTCAGAGTTTATATGGAAAACTTTATTTGACTTAAAATATACATCTATGTACAGAGCAGAACACAAACATGAAAACAGACAAACTAAAGTTATGAATAGTTTGTTTTGAAAAACATGGCATAGTCATTTAAAATGTACATATTTTTGGTTGATCATGTTGAACATTGAAAAACTTGAAATAAACAAATCAGAAATCGACTTTAGTTGTTTTTCCTGACCAACAAACAAAATGTTTGTGCCATCGTAAACCGTTGCAAAGAGGTTAGTTAGCCGTTGCTGAACATGTCCTCTTATTTGAACACTAGGGAGGACTTGACAATCCCTTTTTGGTTACCAGCAAGCCTCTCCACTGTGTTATTAGTTAGTTAGTTGTCTTCTCATCTCTTAGCTGCCGCCTCCCTGTCATCCAGGTCAGTACAGCTGCTGTAGCCAGCTCAGCATTAACACACACACAGACATAGTACCCTGCTGTCATACCAGCGAATGACACATAGCTCAAGTGGAGCCCCACAAACACACAGAGGCCCACAAGCATCAGTAGGCTGGAAGCAGCCTGACAGCTGACACTGAACCACAACAGCCCTCTGTCATCACAGCAGACTGCAAACAGAAAGGCCATGAGGGCAAAGGGCACCAGCACTAGTGGAATATACAGGCTCATAATGACCAGAACCCTGAGGATATCCACTAATACACCAGCAGTGGCAGCCATGTTGTTGTGTTGATCATCACAGGTAACTCCAACATCTGGTCCCTGGAGGCAGAAGTTGAAAGGGCTGATGATGGCCTCAGTAGAGCTGACCAACTGGCCGTGGGACACAATGAGGGCGTAGAGCTGCTGGGTGAAGATGAAGAGGAGGAGGAGGAAAGGAGCCACCGGAGGCCAGCAGTGTGGAGGTCTTCTGTTGCTGTGCTCCATGGTTGAGAGGTTAACCATTGCGAAGCGCCTGTAAGAGTCAGTGCACTTTCACTACCTCTCCTTGCCTCTAGTTGGGGTACTGTGGAGAAAGTAAATAAATAAATAAGATATAGAGGGGTCCATACTTGAACATTAGAAAAAGTTCAACTTTAAACATTTTCCTCAGTCTCAAAATGTGCATCAGCCAATTACAATCGTTGACATAGTTGCACGTGATTGAACTCTACATTGTAGCTGGTCCCATCAGATAACATGCCACATGTTAGCCCTATGCTAACCTCACCTGCTGACTGATTATTTCCTGTAACAAATTCCACATCTGCCTATCAAAGAACTTAAAGGCCCAGTGCAGTCAAAAACGTGATTTTCCTCTGTTTTATATATATTTCCACACTACGAGGTTGGAATAATACTGTGAAAATTATGATAATACCCTCATAGTGTAAAGACCAGCTAAAATTTCAACCTGTTTTGGTGTGATGGAGTTTTGGCCTGCCTGGTGGCCATTGGTGTAGTGCAATTTTTTTAGGTGAGGGAGCGCAACAACAAAAAAGTAATATCAAATTTTGTACCGACAGATGTAACTTATTGAACATCATTGTAGAATAGGCATATGCATAAAATGCATCCTCCAATTGCAACGTCTTCCTATGCCTACAGTCAGAAGAAAATACCTTCAGTAGGCCATCATCACTGTCAATCGTGAATGATCATTCTTCATGTTTTACCGGTGAAATGTCCCAACTGCATGCCAATAATTTGATCTCAATCAGTTTAATGGGAATATGCATTTAGATCTTATTGAATTACTGTTTCGTGAGCGAATTAAAGCTGATGGTGTTAAACTATTAGCCTTTTGTAGGACTATTTTGTTTCAATCAAAGCATAGTAACCCGCGCTGTTGAGTTTTTGCTGCATAAGGAAAACATTTAGACTATTAAACATCAGGTAAGAAATGACGGAATTGTTTTTGATGTAACATATTGTAGGCTTACTACTGTATATAGGCCCTACTATTATATTCGGTTCTGTTATGTAAAATACTAAATCATCTTTACGTGATCTTGCGAGACTGCATAGGCCTACGCAAGACGTGGTACGTTTCTGTAAACTAAGACTTGGGACAGTAGGGTGAGTTCAAGTGCGTCGTACATGATCCCCAAGTCCATAACAAACTGTTTTGAGGACAGACATTTTAGCAACCCCTGGTAGAGCTCTGTCTGTGGTTGTTTTTGTTATGTCGGATTTGGCCTGCTCAAAGTGGTCAAGCCTCCGACCGAATGGCCTCTACACACATGCCTACAGTTATTCATTATTCGCGCAACCGCGCGAGAGAGAAGACAGGGAAAAACCACCATTAACCTACCTATAGGCTGCTATAGCCTACATATTTATTTGAGCAAAGTTGAGGACACAACAGTTCACCTGACAATAATTGAATCCAAACGTTACACTGTTGATTTTATGTCCATTTTACATTTACTGTACTTTGCCGCATTTACTGATAACGAAATCTGAAAATACTCTGGATACATTCAGTAACATAAGAATATTTGTGGAATATGTGGGGTAGGCGAAACACATAAAACAAAATTACAAGGGTTCGAGTGAGAGGACTAGCATGCAGTGGCGGCTGGCCGATAGAGGGCGCTAGGGCGCCGCCCCCTTAAATAAAATTATAAAAAAAAAAAAAAAAAAAAAATAATAATAATAATAATAATAATAATAAAAACATCAGTATGTCAATATTTGTGTGTTTGAAATATGGAATGCACACAGTAATATGTGTAAGATATGATAGAAAATCATGTTCGCAACCTTTCCTCTGCCTGTCAAACGCCTCGTCAGCTCTGGGCGATACAGAAAGTGCCCCGAGGAGGCGGGTCTACGTAGCAGTTAAGCCAATTGCTAATTTAAGATATGAATGTATGACATAAAATGTAGCCAATCAGCGATCTTAAATCGAATCCAAGGAGGGCGATTATTTTATCGCCCCAAGCTCGCCCCTGATAAAATAAGGACCGGGCTCCAGTGGCGCCATTTTTACTAGACGACAATGGCGAGCGCAAACGTTACTCCTCCAAGACCCAACCCTAACTCGGTGAAATCTCTCCTCCAAGATCCGTTTGAGAGGAGAACTTTGTCAGAGAAAGTTCGGGGTGAAAGAGCTGGGCCCAGATCAACCTGACCTCTCAATCAGACAGCAGGCTAGCGAGAAAGGGAAGCAGTATATGCGCGGCTTCTCCCGTAGCTGGTACACCAGGAAGGCTTGGCTAGCTGGGTGCACTGATGCTAATGCTTTATTTTGCTTTCCGTGCTTGCTTTTTAAAACGACGGGGTCAGATTCAGCATGGACAGGTACCGGAGTGAGGGATATGAAGCACCTGTCAGAGAAGGTAAAGAAACATGAGAACACCAGGGCACACATGGACAACTCTGTAAAGCTAGCTGTATTAGGAAGGGTGAACATTGCTACGCAGCTGGATGACGGCCACAGGATTGCGGTGAGGAAACACAATGAGGAGGTTGATAAAAACAGGCACATTCTATCCAAAATTATCGATTGTGTGAAGTTCTGTGGGGCTTTTGAGTTGGCCTTGCGTGGGCACGAGGAGACTGACTCCTCGGACAACCCCGGCATTTTCCGGGGCTTAGTGGATTTTGTTGCCTCCCTCGACAGTGTGCTGGAGGAGCACCTGAAGACAGCTACCGTTTTTAAGGGCACGTCAAAGACGATACAGAACGAGCTGTTGGACTGTATGCTGTCAGTGCTTAAGGATTACATCCTGGAGGAAGTAAAGAGTGCTGATTTTATCGCCATTCAAGCTGACGAGACGACTGACGTTTCCACCCACTGCCAGTTGGTGCTTGTGATACGCTACATCGATGCTAAAAGTAACGTCCAAGAGCGTTTTTTCGAGTTCATTTTGATCGAGAACGCAACCGCCGACACCATCGCTACAGCGCTGCTGGAGAGGCTCAGCACCATACTCTCACATGGACAAAAGGCCAAACTTATTGCCCAGGCTTACGACGGAGCAAGTGTGATGAGGGGAGCCACCGGCGGAGTGCAGCGTAAAATAGTGGATGTGTACGAAAATGCGCACTACGTCCACTGCTATGCACATCAGCTGAACCTCATCATGCAGCAGGCTACTTCACGCATCCCCAGGATCGGCACTTTCTTTTCCGACCTTGCAGGATTTTCTGCTTTCTTCTCCAGGTCTCCCAAGCGAACCACCGTGCTTGACGAAGTGGTTGCGCATAGACTCCCCAGAGCCTCTACAACACGGTGGAACTTCCACAGTCGCGCTGTAAACACTGTGTACGAGTACAGGGATGACCTCCTAACGTGTTTCCAGACCATCAGAGACTCTGGGAACTTTGATGCCCCGACTGTCAGAGAGGCGGGGGGCTTTGTGAGGATGCTCGAAGACGAGGCTTTCTGTTTTTTCCTGGCACTGTTCCACAAGATCATGCCAAATGTGGACATGCTTTTCAGCCAGCTGCAGAAGAGGAACATCGACCCTGTCTTCATTAAAGCACTTGTCCAGAGGTTCACAGACAGCATGCTAACAATCAGGTAAATAACTATATTTACTATTGGCTGATAAAGATGTTGTTAGAAAGATGAATAGTTCACTTACAACAGTTTAAAAGCCTAAATGTGTCTGGTCATCAAAGTGAGTGATTATCATAGAGCCGTCACAATTATATTTGTTTTAGTATTTTAAAAGGAAAGAGAAGACACAATCAGACGTTGATAATAATGCAGGAAAGTACTACACAGTTTGTAATAATTATTCAGGTGTCCACCAGGTCAATTTCTAGAAGAGGCCTAGTTGTTATTGAAGATTAACTTTATTGCTAAGTGCACAGCAGAACAAAATGATGTTGCATCCCTCTCACAAATGTAATAGAAAAAGGCTTTAAAACGTAATAACATCAGTTAATTATGTACATCACAGGTTAAAAGCAGTTACTAGACATAGTTTGTGTGTATATACACACTATCTGTCTGTCTGTCTGTCTGTCTGTCTGTCTATATATATATATATATATATATATATATATATATATATATATATATATATATATATATATATAAAAGTCACTGGTTGTGTGTTGAGGGGGAATTACAGTGAGTTAAGAAGTCTGATTGCAAGTTATCAAATTAAACTTTATTTTTTGGACCCAGGGCCTCAATTCCCTCTTTGTGTGGGGACAGCGCATCTGACGAGCAGCAACAGCCCATCAAGCGACGGAGGATGCTGGGACCAGGAGAACAACAGAGGTTGGCTATAGAGGTAAGTTGTGATGTAATTGTCAGTGTTTCCCCCTAGAACTTTTTTCAGGCCTGGTAGTATGTAGCCAAAACCCTGAACAATCAGCACCTTGGTAATCATATACTTGAGTTGGACATAGGCATGTGTCAGTCAGGATCACTTGCATCAAAATAGCTTAATTGCAAATTAAAGCTGATGATGTATCTTTTACAGGTATGTGATACCATCCTGAGTCATGCCAAAGAGAGGTTCTCCTTCACCCAGCACCTCATCAGCGCAACACTATTGCACGGAGAGTTGTTCCCACAACACAGTGTGAAGTTCCCCGATACAGCGCTTGAAACAACCGTGGAGGCGTACCCCATGTTGAACAAGGCCAAGCTCAAAACCGAACTGTCCCTCATCTATGAGAACAGTGAGTTCAAGGCTTGTAGTGGTGCAGTGCCCCTGTACCAGTTCTTCATGGAGAACAACCTTCAGAGCACTTTCACAGAGACTGCCAGCCTCCTCAAGATCCTCATCACCACACCCATGACAACTGCTGAGTCAGAAAGGTGCTTCTCTACACTGAAAAGGATCAAGACCTTCCTGAGAAACAGCATGACACAGGATCGCCAGAACGCTCTGGCCATGCTCTCCATGGAGAAGAAACTTGTCAGGGACATTCCTGACTTTAATCAAAGGGTCATTGAGAGGTTTGCCACTCAGAAGGACAGACGGGCAAAATTCCTG